TCTCCGGGAATTCCTACTCTATTATGAGACCCGTCATCGCGTGCCATCGGTTTGGTCAGCTGAGCGCAAAAGGAAGGCGGTGGGACGCTCTTATCTGCATTTCTGGCCCGTTAGTGCCTCCACGAGTGAACGCAGTTGTTCTTTGTGCGACCATTGATTACACGCTCCTTCAACTGAGCCTCTGATTGTAACGGACGAATGAATGTTCTTTCTTGGAAGGATTCTTATTCGCAAAATGTCAAAAATTGAAGCAAATGAAGAAAATGAAACGAAAGCAAGAAAGGCAAGACATCGATACATATGAGGATCCGGAGACTAGTCGGGACAGCAAAGAAGAACGAAGATCTCCAAGTCACGCCTGACTTTACCAGCTCGAAATGCAACAAGTTCCTTTTGGATATAGAGGAAGGCTTGAATCAGTGAATATGTCCGCGAAGTTAAGGAAAGAGAAAAAAATATATACATTTGTGGCAGAACCCGCCGAAAACCACTCGCAGCCAAGTCCGTTAGGCTTCAGTTGGCAGCAGCAGAGGTCTGTTTTTCTGTTCATATTTGTCGAAGAAAGGTACACAGAGTGAACCGAGCAAATATGAAGTTAATGCAACCGGTGGGATTGGCTTGGGCGGGGGAGGTGGAGGTCGCAGCGAGCGCGACGAGGGCGGCGGCGTAGAAAAGGGTGATTTTTTTGGCCATCATCTTTGCTGAGCGTGAGGTCTTTTTAGTTTGTCTTGTTGGTTTGTTTGCGGGGCTCGACGAGGTCCGGTATCTAAGGATCGTCAATCTTCAAGGTGAGTGCTGCTGAACAGCGTTCGAGCAGATCTAAACGTGCATATTCACGCAAACAGGAAAAAAAGCAGTCGCGGAACAAACACGACGGCTGTCTTGCCTACCAACCACCTCCGCTGCAGTGCTGCTGCCAGTTCTCCGGCTGACAGGAAGAATTGTTGTCTCCGCGGTGTTTCGCCAGAGAGACAGCAAATCCACTGGCAGAGTCTTTCCCATGGTTTCTTCGACGAATGCACTCAGTTTGAACCACGTGACCTCATTTTGGGCGGCCGAACTTTGGGTCCCTTTCACCGCCGCGGGGGACCTGGCATTCCAGCCTTCAACCGACCAGAAGTGCGTCTGCTGACTCAGAAAATGTACGGTGGCTTCACAGAGTCCATGGTCAGACTTGGGTAAGCGCCCCAATGGGGACATCAAAGAATTCCTCTGGCCTCATACAGGACAAAAATACCTTACATTATCTGACAACGTCTGATTTTTCATTAATTGAGCACCGAATTTTCGTGGTTTGCAATTTCCCACCGTGACGAACCTGAAGGACTGCTGCACTGCCCTGCTCCATCGTCTCCTGATTCCAATGCTCATCGAGTCCGCCCAGCTCGCCCCGGAGCAGATCAAAATCCTCATCCTCCCACTCATCTACGAGCGCGAAGAGTCCCTCCACTTCCGTGCCACCACCGTTCTGCCGTCACCGCCGCCATCGCCGCCCGCACATGTTCCACCAACCCGCCGATCGTCCTTGTCAACGCGTCGCGAGCCTCCGTCGCCGTCCCAACGCAACGGCCACGCCGCCGTGAGGCTGGCAAACACCCCCTCATCTCCCACAAATGGTCGCCGCCGATCCAGTGTCCGCTTCGCGGAATCTGCACGGCGACGATCCGCGGTGTCGCCGTCGTCGCCGCTGGGGCAGGTGAAAAGGGACGAGTGGAAAGGCTCGCTGTCGGCACTGCAACAGCACGGAGAGATGGGCTGCGGGTGGGTGCCGATGTACGTGTCAGACTGTAGCGACGAGGGAAGCCGATTGTTTGGTGAGGCAGGCGCGTCGGAGTGTTTGAAGTGGGAGCTGTGAGGGCGGATTGTGTGGCGAGTTTGTTCCCATTTCTTCTCTGACTATATCCAGCGGACAACCGCTTCGTGGTTGTTACGGACGGGTACATCCACATCACAAAGCCGCTGCTCAGCCGCAAGGTCGCGGGGATCGAGGCGTCCGTGGCGCTAGATGACGTTGTCAATGCGCAAGTGGTGGGTACCCCTTACCCCACCCACGAACATCGGTTGACTTACTGACCAGTGGTGACTTTCACACTGAAGGTGAACAAGAACATTGGCTTCAGCAGGGTGAGATCTCGCATCGTCCAGCACATTGGATTGCTGAGTATTTTCGCTGGATCCATTGAACTAGGCGTTTCCCCACCTAATCATCGATTACCACGAGCACAAGTTGATCAAGCCTAAAGGCTCGTTTAGCGAGCAAATTGTCAATGTTGATCACAGAATACGTGAGTGACACGTGTACCGGGTTTGTTGCCAAAACTGACGCTCAATACCATAAAGACTCACTCGTTTTGAGGACAAACAACCTTCGATGGCGCTTACCACTGTTCGTCAAGCGCGCCCTGACGCTGGCTTGCATGGTACCTTTAACCATCAAAAATTTTCTTTCGCATTTCTTACGGTAGTCGTGCGCAGCGAAATGCACTGCAGTGCACTGCAATATACGACACTGTCGACGTTGATTTGTACACGGTCCTCGAAGAGTCGCTCTTGCGGGAGGGAGGAATCAGCACCAAAGACATGACGCATTTCGACACAGCGCTGAAAGCCAAACAATGCCATCTCGAGCAGCTTCAAGACGTTGCCGCGACGAACCGCGCTGTTAAGCGTGCTTTTTGGAAGGTGAGGTATTTGTGGCCACGCAGAGAGGGACGTATAGTCTTACCAATTTAACCCTCGGGTCAATGATTTGGCACAATAGTCTATGTACCTCTGCGACTATCTATTTAACGAGATCAAAGCGGCGATCGATCTGATAAAAGCATTTGTCGCTGTGAAGATCAAGCCGCCCGGACAGCGGTACTCAAATGCAGAGGTCGCTTCTTTCGCTGGAATTAAGAATGTTGCTGTCAAGCGCAAAACTCCTTTGGCATCGAAGAACTGCATGTGTATTATCAAGTTAGCTTGAAGTTTTAAGTAACAAATTTGAGTTGCTAAAAACAGCTTCGCCAGATATCTAGTTGAATCGATACGGGCTTTGTCGTCTGTTCTGTTTGATTCTGAGCAAGTGGAGGAGAAGCAGGAGTTTCTGATATCTTCGAGGTGATTATAGTTCTCGCGTGTGCACTCTCCTTATCCCTCACGCGAAAATTGTAAATAGGCTAGTCGATTTGACAAAAGGTCAGTCTGAGTGGGAAAGGGATGGTTTGAAGATCGACACTGATGCGCACCAATCAACATTAAGTATTGATGGCCGGCACTCAAATCGAGTCACTTTTTCGGACCAGCCCAGCGACACACCGTCCACCGGCTGCCACTGAAAACGCAACTACGAAATCCGTGCAGCTCAGCCGCCTCCTCCAGCTCGTCTCGAAGCGGCTGGACTCTGGATCGCAGAACACTGACTCGCCGATCGATTCCTCCTCTGAGGAAGAGGAGGACGACTCTCCGGTGAGCAAACAGCCGCCGCCACCGCCTCCTAGCGCTTGGGCGGCTACCGCCGTGCGACCCGTTCCGGGGTCGTGGCAAAGCAGCCAGACGAAGGCAGGTGTAAGCGCCACGGCAGCGTCATTCGCCGCGTGGGGACGACCAACGGCTGGCGCTCCGGTGGGTAGAGGCAGAGCTGGGCCGCCTTTGCGGTCATTGTTTGCACCGCGACCAGATATCCCGTCAAAAGAAACTCCTGACCCCGCAACAGAGCTCCGCATTCGGGATATCGAATCCCGCGGGCTCTCCGACCACGGCAACGACGAGCTACTCTCGTCCGAAGGGCCGTCCTCTTCCGACCCGTGGGTAACGCGATGGCCGCCGTGCAAAACAGCGTCGCACTTGCAGCGAGAGGCGAAGCGACGGTTGGTAGCGCGACTTTCAGCACGGGAGGCGGGCGTCACTGCCGAGTCTTCGGAACGACGTGCACCGCAGAGCAGTGGTGGAAAGACTTACACTTTCAAGACATGGAACAAGGACGCGATCTTGCGGCTGCCACCGCCACCGCCGATTAAGGAGTTGGCGCGGCTAGAGCTGCCGTGGGATGAAGACGGCGAGGACTCGGCACTCGAAACTGATGATCAGCGGAGCACTTCGCCGGGTCTGCGTGGCGCGTCGGCCGGCCTCACAATTTCAATTCCGGGTCCCGTGCGCCACGGAAGCTCGCCCCTGAAGGTTCTCGCCTGGTCATCGACTGATGTCCATCACCACCAGCCGCCTCCTTGGCTGGCGACCCTCCACGCTGCATACCGGCCTGCCGCCGTCGAGGCAACGACGCTCCTTTACGAGCTGTATGCCCTGTCGCGCCTCGACGATACAGTCTCCCGCACCTTTGACGCCGCACTGGAACCTTGGATCTCACCCACCGGCGGCGCAGGCGTCGTCGTTGACCTGCTCGTCGCGGCGCTGCACCCACCCGTGCACCCTTCGCCGGGGTGGGAGTCTGCACTTCCACCTTCCGCGGTGACACCTGGACCCTCGACCCCATCACCGACGCTGCCGAGCGCGACTGTAGGTGGCGAAGGCACATTCTTTGTCAAGCCCGACACTTTGACGCCACAAACCTCCACGCCCGTGCCACGCCTCCCTGCAGCTGTCCTCACCGCTCTCCTAAAGTCGCTGCGACTCCTCCGACACGCGTTGCGGGTGCACGCGACTTCGCCGCTTTCGACGGGATCGGCAGCGGATGCAGCAATTCAGGCGCGCAGCGAGAGTACGGTGGTTGCAGAGCTGTGGGGGGAGGAGGTGCAGTACCTTCTTGCGAACGCTTCGGCGGCGACGGCGGGACTTGCGTGTGACGGACGCGCGTTGGCGCAGGAGGTGCGGAGGGAGGTGCAGGGGCTTGTGCGGATGTGGCGGCGGAGCGCGGCGGGAAGAGATGCGATCGCAGGAAGGGTTAAGTGGCGTATTTAAGTGGAACGTGATTTTGAGGGGGGCTTCGATCACCGACATGTAACAGGCGTCGTCTCGATTTGTGTCTTGGATTATTTGACTAGCTGTTTGAGAGTTTCAATGGCTGTATAGTGTAGGGGTTATCACATCAGATTTTGATTCTGGGAACCCCGGTTCTTTTCCACATTCAATTAGTGGCACCGGGCTGTGGGGGGGTGCGGGAAAAGGGAAAATCAATAAGTGAGAAAATGCCAGAAAGCCAGTTTCTCTAATTGGCCCCACCTGTCATGTCAAACGATCCCCCACCCGGCCCCACCCGAAACTTCTCTTTCTGTCGCTCGCAGGGTTTATCGCTCTCACGGCTCGCTTTCTGTACCGCAAAAGCTCACCAGCCTCTCCCTAAACGTCGCGAAGTGAGCAGCCAAACGCTGGTGCGACATCGCCTTTGAAGCGTGCTCCAGCTCCTGCGCGGCTGTGCCTTGGGTCGCCACTACTCCACCACGGGAGGCAGCGGCGACGGCGGCCTCCTGCATCGTGCGCCGTCGGCGCGAAGCTTGCCTCAAGACCTGCCACTCAACCCTTCTTCGCCTTGCTCTGCGGATCCTTCTCCGACCGTGTCCGCCTGCCGATCGGCGCCGCCCCACTGCCGCCTGCGCCGACCCACACTGCGCTACTGCACTCACCAACTCGATTATGAGGCGCTTGGATGCCCGGAAACTCCGTGCTCAACTGCTGCGCGTAGGTTGTACGATCCTCATCCTCCCGCTCGCATCGCGCACACCTTCGCTGACATCTTGTGTGCACGCCGCCCTGATTCCCTGGCCACCATCGTTGCGCAGGCCTACTCGAGGCCCCAGACGTGATACCGCGGCCCGCCGGCGCCGGCAAGACATCAGCCAGACGGCCAGCCTGACCATCGCCATGCCCGCTGGCGTGCTCAGGTCGTTTCGGCTGTCTGTCGTCGGCTCTGGGTTCTCGTCTCATAGCATCCGAAGTGGCCTCATTATCAATCGTCATGGGCGATGTTGCTCTAGTGCCCTCCCGAACCCCTCCCACCACTTGTTACCCAGTAGACTCTCTGATTTGGTCAACGAGATAAGCGCCATTTGCCCTTTTCGTGCACAATGCCGCTTTTCTGGTCAACCGCTTCATTCTGCCTTCTTTATTGCTGGAAATAAAGTTTTGCACGTTCTTTTTCTTGCTGCCACCAAGCAATCGACAGCAAAACGGAATCACACCAGTCGTGTTTGATTCCTTCCAATTGCTTTACTCCAAATATCACCTTTTCTTTGACGAGTTTCGGAAGGACTTTCGTTGCCTCTTGTTTCTTCGCGGAACGGCGGGCGTTGTCATTTCGAATTTTCATACGAGCGCCATCAGATGTTTCATTGGGTCCTCCAAGCGCTGACGCAGTTGATTCAAGCTGTCGTTGACGCTTGCTTGGAAGCTTCTCTTTCCCTCGAGAGCTTTCAGTCTCATCATCAGAAAATAGTTCAATGATGCCATTTATGTTGTCACTCTTGTTGCTTTCACCGTCGGATGTAATCTCAATAACTTCAAAGGCTGTGCTGCCTTCAATTTGTGCATAGCTGCCTAGCCAAAATTTCCAATCGTTTGCCACTTTGAGCGAACCGATGCTGCCGACCAGTACCGAATTCGAAGAATAGACGTACCGCTCAGTCAGTATCGAAAGAATTATCACTTCCATCTCAATTAGTTTCACAAATATGTACTGTTTCGCACGATTCTGCCTCCACTGTTGCCTTTCAAGAATGTAAGCACGGGGACGATGGCTTATTTCAGGCGTCAATGCCGCCTCGATTCGAGCTAGAATCTCGCGAATTTTGGAAATTTGCTCCAAGCGATTGGTGGTTTCTCTGGGATTGTAAACAGCTTCAACTCCGTAATGAATCAAATCAAACGATCCAAGCTTATCAGCAAGATTTTCTGGTACTGATCTATCAACGAAAGTCCGAGATTTTAGAATAGAGTATCCCAAGTTCTGTGGCCCAACATCAATGCCGATAATTACAGTGTCCTTCAACAAATGGGGACGAAATGCAGCACTACTATGAAATGCCGCTTTGATTGCATCATAATATGCTGCTTTTGATGACCCAGATGCTGGAGTAACTCCAATAACCGAGGCGATTCGTTTGAGAGTTTCATGATTTTCATTGAGTGAAACAACAAGAGTTTTTGAATTCATTTTGCTATTTTGTGATGGCTCCCCACATGTTTTGACGGGCGCGGAGGATGGGCTGCTTTCATTGCTCTCCATTTTTGTGCTGATAGACGAATTTGGGACAATTTCGCGATTATTTTTTATTTTTGTTCAATTTCAAACTACAAAATGGCACCTAGTCTGTTGCCAGCGACGAGTTCTTGTTGAAGTCCAGTTGATGTCGTGGGCCCTCAGTACTGAGTTTGTGAATTTCAGCAACAGTGTTGATAAACTCGTCTGAAAGCTCATTCTGCTTCCCACTCGGTCTAATTTTTTTCGTCGAGTTTCCTGTTTTTGCCGTTTGTGACTTCCTTTTTCGCGAAGTCTCTGCTTCTTCTGCAGGACCTTGTTCCTCTCTTCGCTCTCGCAATTTTTTTTTTGCGTCAGGAGTATCTTGTGCCTGTGCTCTTATGCGGGAATACTCCTTAACGACATTTAAACGTTCGCTAATGGCACTACAATGTGGCCCAATTTGATCAAGCATTGCTGAAGCTTCTTCGGCTGTGAGCTTTCGATCAGATTGAAGTGATTGAATTTGTTGGGCAATTGCACGGAGCTTGGACACAAAAGTCTGAGCCGCACTGGGAGTTCCGAATTCTTGAATTTGGTCGCCGCTCCATCTCCAAACTCTGGCAAATTTACTCCAATCTGAATGTTTGACAATATCCAACAGAGAAGGCCTGGCTTTGCAAACAATCTCGTACACTGGGTAAGTCCTTGGCATTTGCCCAAGAGAACCAGGAAAGAGGATGTTACTTGCTCTCCCATCTGAGTCGAGCGAAACAAAAAAACTTCTGCGTGGAAGTCCATTTGCAGAGCCTTTTGCCCATTCTGGAAGAAACTTTTTGGGAATGGTCGGCCATTCAAGCTTTGCGGAACCGTTCTCGGTAATTGCGGCTGGTCTGCTGCCATCACTCGCAGAAAGTCCATCAGCACTGGTAGAAGAGTTTCCCAAAGCCAAAGTTTGGAAGTATTCCTCCGCAAAAATATCATGGGGATCATTCACGCGGGCCCTCTCTGGTGGTGCTGGTGTTGGGGTCAATTCTCCACGCGTTGTCTTCCGCAAAGTAAAGCGTTAATTGACTCACATAAACCGAAACTCACCTCTGTGTGGCGATTTTCTGGTGTCCTTGGAGGTTGAAATTGGCTGGGGACAAATATTCGAACTGGTGTCCGGGTTGGTGTCTTTGGACTCGAAGGCTGGGACTCATTGTTGCGAACATACTTCTGACCACTAGAAAAATGCGGCATTCGCACCCGTGTGGCTTTTAGTATTTCTTCATGCTCGCTTCTTATTGCAGCGAGATTCTCAGTCGAGATTTTTGAAAAGGTTGCCATAGTACGGTGCAATCGCTGGACTTCGTTACGACAGTCTTGGGCTGCATTTATGCTTTGCTGAGTCGCATCCAGTGCTTGCCTCGTGAGCTGAGCTATATGATTCATGACAACCAGTAGTGCTGGATCCACCTTCGTGAGAGGGTCAGATTTTTTAAAAATTGAGGAATCAACCTTTGCACAACCATCGGGAAACACCCGCCCATCAGGGAGTTCAAATAGATGAGCAGTCTCCTTTGACCGAACACTATCAACAAAGCTTTTCCACGCCGCATGTGTGAAAGGAAGGCACCTCCGGCAATAGTGATTGAGGGGAATAATGCCCTTGTAATCCAACGAAGCAAGAGTCTCAAATTGATGTGAGAAAAAAGGTATACAAAAGGCACCGTCACCTGCAACGCAGAGCGGCGCAAGAGTCTCATTGCTTTCAGTGCAGTTCGCGGACTGACCTCTTGCCCGTCATACGAGATATTCAATTTGCATAAGACAGAGCCCTCAAGCTCTTCTGGTGGATGAGCGTAGATGCGCGGTACCAAATATGGCTCTGATAGATCAAACCCAGCAAATGCGACAAGGACGGGATACTGCGGAATCTGCGCGTAATACTTTTTCTCGCCAACTGTATTTTGAGCCCAACCAGCCATTTCAGCAACAGCCTGTGGTGTTGCTCCCCGTTTAATTGCATGAAATGCGGAAACTTTTCGACCCGCATGAAGAACGACACTGGTGTGAATGTCAGCAGCTTTGTTTGCCCTCTTCATGTTTCTGTTTGCTGTGGAATTCGCCATGGGCTTTGTCGGGTCATCTTGACTTGGGAAAAGCACCGACTGAAGCCCACTTGATCCTTTGATTCCTTAGAGGAGCGACACTACTATGATTCTCACCTAAAGTAAAGTCGGGAAATTCATCCTTTGCGCTATTGCGCCAGTCAAATCGATCAATCAAATGTATTCCAAGAGACCCCATCGCACATCTTAGAGAATCTTTGTGGGGCAAAGCAGCTATGAATCGGGAATGTGAAATCTTCGGCGTCCCAACGTTGTCTCAGCCCAAACTAATTCTGCAACAGTGATGATCTTCAAACCTGATCCTGCCGTTTGGTCTTCCACTCTTGAAGAAGCATTACCAGTGCATTTACTGGCCCGCACGCTGGAATTCGATATTCATACTCGCCCAAGCAGTTGAAATTGGTGTTGAGCGGCTCGTTCGCGCGTGCAGCAGTTCCATGCGTGAAGTTGTTCATTGCCCAAGTTCGAATTCCTCTTTGCTTTCGGCTTGTCTCGCTCCAGCAACCACGCAGTTTTTGTTCAAACTTGGCTGGGTCAACTTCTGCTTCAAATAGCGTACCTGCCATGACGTCGGGGTTTTCGCTGGAATATTTAGAGCACGAATAACTCTTTGTTTTACCTTGATGACCGCTTATTTGAGTTAAAGATGAACCCACGCATCTTTGTCTTCAAAAGCGGTGATGATGTCGGGGCTTCCAACCCTGGTTGAAAGATGGACACAAAGCTGTGATATACAGCGTAAAATGCAAACATCTTTTTGTGCGTGGACTTGACTATATTAGATGAAGCCTGAAGAAAGTGAATCTGAACTTACTATTTTCTGTCCAAGCAGTTCCACTTTCTCATT